TTTCATTACCAAATAGCCAAAAGAATAGTCTTCCAATAGAGAAATAGTTCCATAAAACTAAGTTATGATACCTTAGCTACATGGAGTATTATGTAACAATGAACATGACAGGTATGAAAAAGCATAAACATGTTTGCTAATTCAGTAAGTAAAAAGTTAAAAATAGAAATTATTAATCTTGAATATATGTATAACAATTTTAATTGCATAAAGACAAAATCTGCAAGAGAATATGTAAGAATGTACATTAGTTGTGTTAGGGTTATAAAATTATAGGTGAATACTTTTCTGTTATCAATTAAAATATTTTTACAAAGAAATAAAAAGATGCTTAGAGTTACTTGTTCTATTCTGCTGAATTCATCATGATAGCCCATTTATAAAAGAGGAAGACATATTTCTCTTTTAAACTGAAAATGTTTTAAAGATCTAAACTAATTCAGTGGTAGAAGGTGGAAAATATTATAGAAGTGTTCTTCAGTAATTTTCAGGCAAATGTAGACTGGAACCCTCCTTCTGCCATGTTTATCGGAAAGGCTGCTGAAATTCTGATGCTCGGATTCCTTATTTCTAAAGAGAATAAGTTTTAAAAACCTACTTTGCCATTTGTCTTGTTTTTATTTATATTTGTTTTGCTTTAATGACACTAAGTGCCTGGTACCTACTTGGTACTCAATAAACGTGGATGGTTGGTGGGAGTTTATGTAAAACCTTATAGGACTGGGGGCATGACTGTGACCTTGAGTTTGCTTCCATGAAGGGCCTGGCTCTTCACTAACCTACGTCAAGGAGGACTTGGGGGGACAGAAAGATCTGGCTTCCATTAGTGATCCTTTGTGCAAAGAGCAGGATACAGATAAAAGGATAAATAACCTTTTGTTTCACATCCCTTCTCCATCCCTTTACCCTTGAGGTCTGACTAACATGTGCGGGGGCTTGGAAATACCAAGGTCCTCCCTTCCAGTCCGAGAGGCAGCAGAAGGGCTGGTGTTAGCAGTGACATTTACCAATGACTTTGTTCCACCATCATCTCTCGGTCCCCAGAGTAAGATCTTCCCAGGTCTACTTTCATACGGCATCGGGGAAAGGACCAGGAGAGCGGGGAATGTTGAATTTTAAGTTTCTGATCTGGTTTTCTGTAACCAGCTTAATAAAAGTCCTAAGGGGGCAGTTCAAAGCCAACATCCTGCTGACAGGAATCGGTTGTCATCCTCTTGACAGAAATTAGCTACCATTGCAGGGAAAGAGATGTTGCAAGCCAAACCTGCATTACACTTGATATCTTTAAAGGGCCTGGTGTTCCTGCTTTGGAATGACTCAACGAAATGTCCTCAAGGCGTCCCTTGGGAGACTTCTCTCCTGTCCCACCTATCTGTGGTCCTTTGACCACACCCCAGCTTTGCTCCCACTCTCTGAATTTCCCAATTCTCAAGGATTTGTCACACTGAGTTATTATAGCACCCCAGTTCACTTTCACTCTCTTAATAGTAATGTGGAAATTACTCATGTTGTTGACTCCTCGAAAATAAATTTGTAATGATTTTTGTCTGAGTAGTGACATAGTATCCTTTTTTGATATCTCGAATCCAAAGGATATAGACTGAAATGGTCACAAAGCTTACTGCTAAGAGCTAGAAAACAGAGGTCTGATGGCAAAGTGGCCATTAGAAGAAAGACTGTAAACTTGTAAGGTGAACAAGCAGATACAGGATTAGCAATCATGTACAGAAAGAAACTATGGTAGCCCAGTCGGTGTAGCTTGATGGTTGAGCGTTGACCTATAAAACCAGGAGGTCACAGTTTGATTCCTGGTCAGGGCACATGCCTGGGTTGTGGGCTAATTCCGCAGTAGGGGGTGTGCAGGAGGCAGCTGATCAATAATTCTCTCTCATCATTGATGTTTCTCTCTCCCTCACCCTTTCACTCTGAAATCAATAAAAATGTTTTTTTAAAAAAATAATTGCATGAATGAACAAATGAAGGAACTCTTATGAACATTCAAAAGAGACAGCACATCTGAGTTCATACATTGAAGTGTGATAAATCTTGTGGTTGATCTTGTAGCATAGGAGCTTGATTTAGATTTTTCAGGATTTTCTACATATACAGTCATGTCATCTACAAATAAAAACAGTTCACTTTTTCCTTCCCAAAACCAATGGTTCATTACTCATAGTTCATTCTTTTGCATTGTTGTGTAGTATGCAACTCCCCAAAAGCAAATGCAATACAGTGGGGCCTTGACTTACGAGTTTAATTCGTTCGGAGACCGAGAGGAGCTCGTTAAGGAGCTCGTTAACTCAAATTACTCTATCAACTCAAGGCAAAAAATCGGCTGAGAGACAGCTGGTATCTCAAAAGACTCGTTAGTCGGGACACTCGTAAGTCAAGGCCCCACTGTACTACTTTTCTTATCTAATGGTCTGACTTTTGATCAACATCCAGAAAAAAAAAAAGCCTTGATCCTTTCTCCTACATGAAAATGCCCTAAGGGCCTAATGGAATAGACAGAGCCAGTCCCCACATCCAGGTCTCTTCTCCAAAGGAGAGGAGAGGAGATTTTCCACTTCTGGAGAACACTAACTGAGCATTGTGAGCAAACAGGGCCATAAAGGGCTGGCCTGCCTCTGTGGTGTTCCCCCAGCATGCTTCAGTTTTTCCTAGGCTGCTGCTGGAAGGAAATGAAACACATCAAAGACATGGAAAGGTGGAGAGAAGCCACTAGGTACAGACTCACTGGCTATAGGACAGTGACAGCGAACAGCGGGGATGGAGACGGAGCACATCCAGCAGAAGGGCACGGCCATCTGGGATAATTTCCTGCAGAGAAAATGCCCGGAAACTCACGGAGTGTTCTCTGAAGGCAGCACTGGGGGGCTGCCAAGTTCAGAAACTGAGGTTCATGAGGGAGAACTGGATGAAAGTTATGCCCAGAAGATGAGGAGAGGATCTGATATTGTTTCCGTGCTTTCCAGCTCTTTCCTCTCCCCATCTCCCCCTTATTAAAAACCAATCCTGTGATAATTTTTTTCCCAATTAAATGTGTAAGTGAAAATTAATAAAATACCTTTTTAATAAATAAGTTTCAAAGGGAGAACCTAAACCTAATGGAACAATTTCTGTGTGATGGACAAGCAAGGGTAAATGGCCCAGTAGCCACAGAATGTAGTACAGTTTATAAAGATACATTAAGTAGATGGAGTTAAAATGCTTCCATGCTGTAGGGGCAAACTTTATTTACCCAGACAGTCTGATTAGCCAATGGCATTATGCAAAGCCGGTATTTATAACCTAAGCCTTAGGAACTTGACATTTAATAGTTTCTCTCTTTTTTTCATACTTAATATACAGAGGAAAATATATTTGAGACAATGAGAATGTGTTAATGGGTTGACCATAATGTGTGTGTGTGTGTGTGTGTGTGGTTTATTTGTCAGTTTTCCCAGCTTAGAGCTTGAATTTGAGAATACATATTACTGGAACAGATTTTCAAACAATTTTAAAATGTCATTTGCCATCATCATAATGCATCTGTGTAAAGGAGGAAAATGATAGTATGGCTAGTTCTAAGAGGCAATAATTAGAGAGCAATTTATATTTGCTTTAAGGATGTGTGTCTATGTGTGTCTACCTATACCTGCTTTCTTGGTATTCCCAGTGTGTAGGTCTGGCTTGAAAAGACTTCTAGCCCCTCTGGACCTCGGGAAATTAAGAACAAAGAGAATTCGGCTTAATTCCATCTAGTAGGGTGTTTTGAATATCTGCTATGTTTTGATTAGTGATATTAAGTAACAGAAAGCATCTCTTTAGCAGCTTCAACCCCAAAGCGGATGTGTGTGTTGGGGGAGGGAGGGTGTGAGGGTTGGATGGCGGGGGGGAGACTACATGAGGATGCAGAGCAATAAGGCATCTGGATCTCAGGAACAGAGAGTAACCAAGACCTAGAAAGCTGTCAGGACCCACTCTGCCTCTCTCTGCTGGCTGCCTCGTTCTTTTCCCTCTTTATTCGGAAGCCCTTTCTCTTCTTTAGACCTTGGACAGAAATGAGCATGTGAAACATCTGCCTAGACCAGTGATGGCGAACTTTTTGAGCTCGGCGTGTCAGCATTTTGAAAAACCCTAACTTGACTCTGGTGCCGTGTCACATATAGACATTTTTTGATATTTGCAACATAGTAAAACAAAGATTTATATTTTTGATATTTATTTTATATATTTAAATGCCATTTAACAAAGAAAAGTCAACCAAAAAAATGAGTTCGCGTGTCAACTCTGACACGCGTGTCATAGGTTCGCCATCACTGGCCTAGACAGACTTGCAATCTCAAAATCACTGTTTCCGATCCCCAGGACAAGGAAACACGCTGGCCCCGTTTAGTGTAGGTTAAGCCTATCATCTGTGGTAGGTGTGACAAGATCACATATAGAGAAGCAGCTAAGAGGGAAATGCCCCTGAAGAGGAGGAGATAGTTTCCAGAGAAAGGCAATTACTTAGAGGTAGGCAGACAGTCTCTACATTGTGTTTGTACATGATTTAGCCCAGAATCAGCACCGTGGGAACAAAATAGATGCTTATATTATAGCTTCTGTCTTTATGAAGGTCACAGGCTAACACTAGGTGAGTTTCAAAACCACTCTTTGCGAGATTAACTGGAAGAAAAAGGAAGACATGATACCGGCATTTGACATTTAAAGTTGCTGTTTCAGTACACTTGTCAAAGCCAGCCAGGGTGCTTTGCCATCTCAGAACAATTTGTTCACTTAGAAATTAGAGGTGTTTGGGCCAATAAATCGAAATTTATTTTGTAGTAGTCATTTCTCTTAATGGACGTGTTTTCCAGATGTTGCCTAAGTCTAGTCGTCCGGGCCCTCTTCCAATAAATGAGGAAAGTTTGATTTCATTGGTTGTCACTGTTGATTTTGTCTAACCTTTGGACTAATGGGTTCATCCCAGTATATCTGCACTGATATATATATGACTTCCAGGACACTGGAGAAATTCATCTATCCTCTTACCGGTAAGTGTCAAAGTTAACTTGCTTCATGGAATTAAATGTTTTCAATTCAATAGGGATAAGCTTTATTAAAGGTGTTTGAAATAGATGTGTAAGGATAGTAGTTGGACAGTTTGGGAAAAGATCACATTTCTGCAGTCCACCTGTTGGAAGCTTGTAAATGGATATTGAGAGGGAAGGGGAAGTTGGAATGGTAACTCCTGTGTTTATCAAATTAAATTCTACTGAGGCTGGTTATTTTGTTCCTTAAGATAGAATTTAAACTTTGCACTGTAAGTACCTGTGTTAATGTTCATAGAATTTTAAGGTAAGTTTGTATTCTATTGGGGGAAGTTTAAAGATTTAAAATGTTCCATGACATGACTGAGATGGTTACTTGATTTCTTCTGCAGAAGATCAAATCCAATGGTCAAATAATTACTATTTAGAATTAAAGCTGACTAAAAGTCTTGCTTCAAGAATGGGGTGGTTTTATCCTTAAATTGCATTTTAAAAGTTACCCAAACATGAATGCAGCACAGGCATAAGCTGGTGGTGAGATTAAAGAGGAGTTTTCTGGTACTTTTCTTTTCTTCTCAGTGATGGCCATGGAGTGGAAGATGCTTCCCATTCACTTGTTGCTGCTACTTTCTGTTTTCTTGATTCAGCAAGTTTCTTCTCAAGGTACCTTAACCATCCAAAACTGTTTTATTTCACAACTATTGCTAATCATTCAGTTCTGACTCTTAGGCCAACAAAAGAAATAGAGATGTCTAAAAATGTATGTTTGTTGAAGTTTAATGCAGAGTACAACCTTATTATGTAAAAACGTACCTTTTATGAGCATTTTGGAATTCTCACTCTTGTCTCCTGTGTTACAGAATCTTTCAAGAAGTTTTGAGCTTTTCTATAGAATAATTTCTGTATTGATTATTCCTAGGGTTATCCCAAAAGTTTAAAAAAATATATACAGATGTTGCTGGGGTGATACAATATTATTTGATTAACTGATAAGATCAGTATTTAAATAGTATATAATTTTTATCTAAATGTTTACAAAGAAATTTAATTTCTTACATCAAAGTATTGATAAAGCACTTCAATGGACATCTGCAATATTTGAAATGGCATTTTATTAATCTTGAAAATGCTCTCTTTCTTATATAAGGACTATTCATCCAGATACAGAATTACACAGATGTGAATGTCATTTGATATTAGGTGCATGATTGTTATGGTGAAATTACATTTATGAAATAGACATTTCCAGTAAAATAATTAAAATTCTCATGAACCTGAGCAAGAAAGGTAACTGCCTGCTATGGGCATAGTTTCAGAATCGCTGAGATAAGAAAAGATGGAAAATGCGTGAAAGCAAATATAAACATTTCCAAAGGAATGATGACGGCTCTGGGATCTCCAGACCCCGGTGCTCTTTCATGATAAATTACAAGGTTCGCAGCACTGGGTGCGTTTTTCTAACCCACCTTTCCTCTGTGATAGTCAATTGTTCACTAAAACGGTTTACTCTCCTTTAAGTAAATGAATTTAAGATTAGTTATTAAAATGAATAGCAAGAGAAGTACAGACATTTGATCTATGAAAATAAACTTTTCCTGTAAAGACATTTGATTGATTTCCTATTTCAGAAATCTGCTAACGGTAAATAACATTTTGATGTTGCATCTGCTTTTCTTGCCTTCTCAACCTCTTCCCATTCCCTTTTTTCTTTATATATAATATATGTATTTATATACATACACTATATATGCATCTGTGTGTATTGTGTGTATATGTATGCAAACACTTCTGAAAGTTTTCCTAATATTTACTGTTTAATTTGCATATTAAGACCTTCACTCTCCTGCAATCATCATTTTGAGAGGTTTTTTTTTCAGTGTGTTTCAAAAGTCCTTCTATGGATTGGCAGATACCACCTGCCAATTTCTATTCCAGAGACAGATTCAGTGGTTGCTTTTCCATGGTTATCTCTTCAGGGAGGATTTCAAGGTGTTTTTCAAATGATTTTGAAACTATATTGGAAGATATTTATGATTTTGGTTTTTTTGGTTTTTGTTTTACCCAGAAATATTCTGTTCATGACCTTTACATTCATGTCCAGGTCTTATTTCAATAGTTATTCATTTTGCACCATTTTAGCAGTGGTTGTAAACATCTGACTTCCCTGACATTTAAAGATCCCAGTTCCCCCCACCAATGAAGGGAAAGGACACTTAGAAGAGTTTGTGCGGGTATAACCAGCTTTCCTCAAGCTCATCAAGAACAAGAAGCACTGTGATTGTTGTGAAAGTTTGGGTTTTAGAATCAGATATATTAAGAGTTCAAATTCTAAACGGGCCGTTGATTTAAGATCTATAATAATAAAAGCTAATATGCTAATTAGACCAGACATCCAAACAACCTTCTGGATGTCATTCCAGGCGTCCTTCTTGATGAAGCCACAGCATTGGGGGCTGAGGCAGAGGCAGATAGTGGCGATCAGGCAGGAAGGCAGAGGGGTTAGGGACAATCAGGCAGGCAGGCAAATAGTTAGGGGCGATCAGTCAGGCAGGCGAGTGGTTAGGAGCCAGGAGTCCCAGATTGCGAGAGGGATGTCCAGCAGTCAGACATCCCCCAAGGGGTCCCAGATTGCGAGAGGGTGCAGGCTGAGCTGAGGGACCCTCCCCCCCACCCCTCCCCATGCAGGAATTTCATGCACCAGGCCTCTAGTAACTATATAATTTAGGGCCAAGTCAGGACACGTCTGAGAGTGAAAGAGGTCAATATGAATAATTAACAGGTATTCATTGACCTATAATACGTATATATGCTGGATCTGTTCACTAGCTGGGTGCCCTGAAGCAAGTTATTAAAATTTCAATCTTTCAGCTTCCTTATCTCTAAAGAGAAGCTACTCAGAGTCTCTTGGCAACATTTTCAAAAGCGTTAGAGATAACATATGACTCAGTACCCAGCACAGAGAGGCTCCAATGATGGCAACATCAGTAGAGCTGTAGCTGCCACCCCCCTCTCAGGAAAGGTGCAAAGCTCCTACTTTGATTTTCAAGAGTATTTGTCTTCTCAGTCTAGGAAAAGAATAAAGTGAGTCTGATAAAAGATCAGGCAAAGATCACCTGGACGTATGGCTAATTATCATCCCCATCCTTTCCCAACGGACACAATTCTCTCTCCCCAAATGGCTCTGTCCTCCTCCTGAGATCTCTCCCTCTCTGTAAGTGGTTTGGCCGTGTTTACCTATATTGTGTGATTTTAGATGTATCAAGCTGTGCAGGGAGATGTGGGGAAGGGTATTCTAGAGATACCCCCTGCAACTGTGATTATAACTGTCAACTCTACATGGAGTGCTGCCCTGATTTCAAGAAATTCTGCACTGTGGGTAAGTGCCTAGAGCTGGCATCTCCCCTGTCAAGCATCGCTGTTCTTGAGAGTCCCTTGCTGTGCTCTGTGCGTACTATTGCGCATCTTGTTGCTCAAGTGTCTCTCCCTTCCCTTGCATAAATGTCGCAGCGTGCTGTACCTCAGGTTGGTGTCAAAGCTTGTCACTACTGGGGGAGTTTAAGCGGGCCTGGAGATCTGTCACTTGCACAAGGTTTTTGATTAGTGCCAAATACAATGTCTTGTCTTCAATAGAGACTTAACACTGTGACTCGAATCATGAAGTAACAAGTAATGAGTTGTCATTGCTTAGTCAGGAAGCCCTTCAGACGTTTCACCAGAAGAATCTATGGTCCTAAAATCTTGCTTACTACTTGACTTTTTAAATACATATATTGACATGTTTCTAAATTACCTAAAAATGGCACTTGAATGATGAAGCATTAGTGTTTAATGATGAGTTTCAATGAAAACCCAAAAGGTTTGAATTTTCAATGAATGGTAGGTAATATTTCACTTGAATATATTTTTGGCCATTTTATTAACACAGAGACATGTCATATTTAATGTATAAAAATTATAATTGAAATTGCCTCAATGTTATCTTTGCTTTTAGAATTTGCATGTGAAGCTCATAAGTATATTGTTGTACAATGTATATGTTGTGTTGTGTTGCGTTGTGTTAAGGTAACTATTTCAAATGGGCCTGGTTGGAGTCATTGGATCTCTAACCAAGGCTTTTTTTTTTTTTTTAAATAAGCCTGTCATACATAAGTCCACGCCATAGATTAGGCTGTGTCTTTCACCTCTACTAAAATTTAGTTTTAAGGCACTAAATTTACAAGCAAACCTACCAAGAATTTGTTAATAGTGTGTCATAATAAAGGTCTCTGCATTATAAACAGGGACTTTTAATTCTGAGCTGAAACATTGATCCATTTGGAATATATTGTTGTGGGATCTGAATATTAAATTAACAGAAATCTATTACAATGAGTGATGTGAGGAGGAAAAAAGATGGAGGGATTTCCCATGAAGGGAAACGTTTCCCATTGTCCATACATGGAAATGACTTGGGGTAGCACTGGGGTGTCTCTTGGAACCTCGAAGGGCAAACATGTTTCTCTAAGTCCCCATATTTCTTTCTTGACTTGGGCTGTCTCCACTTGGGAAACCATCCATTTTCCTAAGCAGAGGACTTATAAATGCCCTTTGGGGCTCTAGTGAGCTAGAAAGGTGGGAAAGGGCTCCCCTTCATGGGGGTGGCTGTGTGGTCCTCAATAATCCTAAGGCGGAATGTTTTGTTTTGCTCTGGGTAGAGCTCTCCTGTAAAGGCCGCTGCTCCGAGTCCTTTGAAAGAGGGAGGGAGTGTGACTGTGACGACCAATGTAAGAAGTATGGCAAGTGCTGTCCCGATTACGACGATTTCTGTGAAGGTAAGCATCAGTCCCAGGGGGTGCTTCTGGGGTGCAGCCAGAGCTGTGCACACACCTTGGCTTCACTGATAACGCCTGACACGCAGTACGTCCCTCTGAGGTGTAGCTTTCACTAACATTTAAGTTATTTCATTCTAATTTTGTTTCAACAAGATGAATTGAGGGACGGCCGCCTCTCCCAGCAGCACTCCCTGGCTCAGCCAGGCTCCAGGAGCGCAGGTTGAGTAACAGAGGGTGGGCCTGAGTGTAAATGCTTCTCTCTGCAGGTGTGGTTCAGTTTCAGGTTAAATCAACAGTAACCAACTCCCTTGATGATTTCTTGTCTCACCTGAATGGTCAGCTGTCCTTTGAACTATCTGTGCTTTACAAAGTAATGTTTTTCAGTGTGTATTTAAATATATGTTATTGACTTTTTACAGAGAGGGCGAGGGATAGAGAGTTAGAAACATCGATGAGAGAGAAACATTGATCAGCTGCTCCTGCACACTCCCTACTGGGTATGTGCCTGCAACTAAGGTGCATGCCCTTGACCGGAATCGAACCTGGGACCTTTGAGTCCGCAGGCTGATGCTCTGTCCACTGAGCCAAACCGGTTAGGGCTTCAGTGTGTATCTAAAGGGAGAACCAACACTTTTTTGCTTCTCTAAACTAGAACATTTGTGAGTTAGTTTAAGGCATTAAATTTACAAGCAAACCTACCAAGAATTTGTTAACTGTGCATTGTATGTCTCTTCCCATCTTGACAGTCTCTCTCTCTCCAAGTCCTGTGCCTGATAGTCAATAACAAGGGATAGTCTCATCTTAAAATCTTCTCTGGTTATGGGTCCCGAAGGAGTACTCTGAGAGTGTAGTAAAACCATCTAAATTTTACCAAAAAAATCCAAGATTTAAAAATATTCTTAAACAATGGATTTCTTTCTGTTACCAAATGTTTGTTCTTAAAGCCTTTTGTTAAAACAAGACAGTTTGTGGAAGAAAGTGTAGATGTGCATTGCTTGCATAACCCGATCATTTTATTTAGACAAGGCTGCACGCCCGCTCCTTTCCAGCAGGGGAGAGGGCAGAGAGCTGTCAGGCAGCTGAGCTGAGGGGCCTTTCTTCACCCTTCAATGTTTGCACTAGAAAGCATTCCAGGGATAACGGAGAGGACACCCTTGTAATGGAAAACTCAGAGCAGAGTCCCTGCAGCTTTCAGAAGGACCCGTGTGGGCAGGACATGTTTACTCACCGCCCTGAGAACCGTGCTGGCTGTGAGTCAGGACGCTAGGAATGCATCTTGGGCAGAGGATTGGTGGGGAGTGAGGAAGCATTGAGAGAACCTGTTAATAAAGATAATGCCTTAGGCTACTACAGGGTGGCCAGATTGCATGAGGTTTGTGCAAAACGCGGGGAAAATAAAGGACACCCAGAGCTTCAATACTTCATTTTTAAAGAATAGCAACCAATTTATCTTGTCAACTCTCCACTCAGTTGTTTCAAGATTGCTGGATTCTGCTTGTAGGCATCTGTAAATCTCAGGGATCACATTTCAAGAACTGGAGGCATCAGCAGTCGAGCTATGAACGTGGGTGAGAAAAGCCAAGAGGTTAAGTGTGTGTTGAGGATCACTAGTTAGTATGTGGCAGAACAGTTTCTCAAGTTGAGGTACTTGTCGCCTTTGTAGCGGGGAGAAAGGGAGAGGTGCGGTGGTCAGTTCATGGAGACTGCAGCCATCGCTTTCTGAGATGCTTGGTAAGAGCAGCGGGTTGATGGCAACCCTCCACTCCCCAGAGCGTCCCCACTGTCCTCCGCTTCCCACTTTCCCACAGGTCCCTCTCCTCTTCCTCTGGTTCCTAATGATCAGAACAGGTCTTCTCTTCTGGACATGAGGAGAGGTGGGAGGAGGGGTGACAAAAGTTTAAAAGAAACACATCCAACCATGAATAGCCGTTTGACTTGGGGAAGGGCAACAAGTTTTGAGAAAAGCATCATGGGAAGCTGTGGAAGTTTTACAAAAGTGAATATTCATTTAGAACTTTCATGATAAATTGGCATCATTACTTGTAAAAGAACATGGAAACAAAAAATGTAATTACTCTATTTCTCACCCACATGCAATAATTATTTTCACCACAGAAGGCAGACACAAGGGATGGAGTTTATAAACCCAAGCACCTTTTAGATAAATACCCCCAGAAATCATCTAGAATAAATGTTTGCAAACAAGAAAATGAAGTTCAAAAGGAATTCACACTTTTCCCTAAGGTCTCAATAAGAGCCTTGCAGGACCAGGACTGGAATTTTCCTGAGCCCTGAGCCTTTGCTCCCTATCATAACATAAGAGAACCAATATTTTATAGCAACACATCCTCAGAATTAATTGGTTTGGAGTAGTGCTGGGCCACAGCCTGCCTACACTGGTTTTCACCAGCATCTACTCTTTTTAAAAAAATGCTTTTGATTTCAGAGAGAGGAAGGGAGAGGGAGAGAGGATAGAAGCATCAATGATGAGAATCATTGGTGGGCTGCTTCCTGCATCCCCCCCTACTGGGAACTGAGCCTGAAACCTGGGCAAGAGCCCTGACTGGGAATGGAACCATGGCCTCCTGGTTCATGGGCTGACGCTCAACCACTGAGCACGCCGACCGGGCAAACCAGCATCTAATCTTGAAGACAGATGCATCCATGGCTTTCACAGTTAGAGTTGCTGATGAGTACAAACAGATGTTAACCGACCTGTCTTGCTTGGCCTCAGTGCATAGCCCCACATCACCACCATCTTCAAAGGCTGCACCTCCGCCTGCAGGAGCACGTCAACCCATCAAATCAACAACCAAACGTTCACCCAAACCAACAGACAAGAAGACGTCTAAGAAAGTTATAGAATCAGAGGAAATAACAGAAGGTAGGAAGATGACAGAAGGAGGTTTCGATGAAATAAGTATCTTGCTTTTAACTGACAATTAAATTAGAAGGGCAGTTGATTATGTTACCGTTAAATTAAATCAGAACACAGACATTTATTGATTAGTAAATAGCATTTCTTGTTGTATTTGGACTGGCAGTTCTTTCTTGCTTTAAATCACAATTGGCGTGATCACTTTTTTATTTGATTTATAGAACATTCTGTTTCTGAAAATCAAGAGTCTTCTTCCTCTTCTTCCTCTTCCTCTTCAAGTATTCGGAAAATCAAGTCTTCCAAAAATTCAGCTGCTAATAAAGAATTAAAGAAGAAACCCAAAGGTTTGAGCATTGATAAAGATCAAAGACTATATCAATGCCATAACAATAATTACCTAAAGTAATGCGTGTTGATAGAGTGATTTGAAGATATTTTAATACTTGGGGAGGGAGGTGTGTAACTCTATAAAAGCTATTTTAGAAAATACCAATGCAAACTTCCTTTAGGAAATTAGTGCCAAGCAGCTAAGAAACCAACGAAAGCAAAGGGTAAGATGCTAGAAACTGGGAAACCACAGGATGGCGCCAAAGATGATTGTGGTTTTTTATTCCAGTTCCTGACATCGTTTTTCTTTCTTCTTTCTCTTCCTTGTGTTTTCATTTTTCCTTCTTCAGATTTTTTTATTTTACTTAACAAACTTATATACTGCTTTAAAATGCTAATTTATTAAATTCTCATACACCTCTCTGGGAAACTCAGTATTACTCTCGTTTACAAATCCTCTTTACCGTTTTCATAATCAATTAGATGTCATATCTGGCTGGTTTTTCTGTAGAAAATGTACTACAGAGTAGGCTCTTCCCTCCTGAAAAGAGGTTCCCTTTGTTCTGCTTTTTATTTCCTGAAATTCTAAACGATATTCTCTTTCCCCAGGAAGTACTGGATTTTGGATACTGGAGTTCTAAGGAACTATTTCCTGGGTGGTTGTGATTTCCCCTGAAGCCTTCTCTCTAAACGAATAGCCAGATATTTAGTCTTTGAGTCATCCAGAGATTCCTGTACCCGATGGAAGTGCAGTACATGTTTGCTGAATGAACTCATCTCATGATGTGCCCTTGGGGCTCTGTAGTTCACCCGTGGGGTAGCTGCTATGGCAAATCCTGTTAAATAGGGTCTTTTAGCTGCCATAGCATCCTAATTTCCTTTCTATACCTGTGGGACTGGGCAGAAGAATGAGAAGAGCTAACAGCCCTGGGTATGGAAATAACTCAGCAGGAGGGGATGACTGGAGCATCTTGGATGTAGCTGTAGAGGCCTCTCAGCTAACGGATGCAGTGAATCTACAAGACGTTGGAACTAGGCTTCCAGGAGAAAGGGGCACTGAGCAATGAGGAAGAGGAGGAGCAGAGAAAGGGAAGGCCAAAGAGCTTTAATGTAAAGAGATGAATTAGTGTTATTGATCGTATGGGTAATTTCAAATTCGCCACATGTCTCCGTCTATTAATTGTAGTTTTACTTGTACATTTTACCCCTTATTCATTCCCTAAAATAGCCCACTAAGACAGGTTGAGTATTTAACATTTTACAATAAATTAATAGACATTATTAGAGGTTAGCAACCTGCCTAGAATCACACAGTCAGTGATAAGAATGGGAGCTTTACATAATTACTAAAGACAAACTATTCAAGAATAAAAGATGTGTATTTTTTTCTCTAGTAAAAGATAACAAGAAAGAAAATCCTAAGAAGAAACCTGCCCCGGAACCACCAGTGGTAGATGAAGCTGGAAGTGGATTGGAGGAAAGTGATTCCAAGCCCACCCCAACTCCTGACTCGCCCACCACTCAAAGCACTAAAGTTACCACAACTTCCAAGGTTACAACAGTGACAACAGTAAGTCCTAAACCCAGCCC